CTTAGAGTTATTATGTGGTCATTGCGAACATAGTAAAAGGTTTGACCGCTTAGGTGAACATGAAATGAGGTTGAAAAACATAGATAAAGGGGTACGAACTAGAGCCAACATGGGTTCGTCTTAATGAGACATGCACAAATCAGCAATCACTGGACATATGGTCACACACAACCACATCCCAGATTGGAAATACTACAAATTACAGGGGGAACTGATGTCGGCAGTAGATGAATAAGGATCTAAATGGTTCAGAAGTAAAGACAATAATATTAACAGAGACGAGGGAGTACACCAATTGTCCCATGTGTTTGAACAATTTTTGTCGACCCACAACAAGACCCAGGGACTCCTGCTTACATCACACCAGGAGAGGTTTGCCGACACAATACCACCAGTTGGCAAGCTGGAGATAGATATGCAGATTTCTACACGTTAGTTTGAGAATGGTAACTGAGTGACCAAAACTGTCATACGTATGTTTTTTTAAGTCTAAAATATCTAAGAAATATTGTAATGTCAAACAGTCCACAGTTAATATTCCCATGCAGATTAAATTAAATCGCAGTCAATTACTTCGAAAGGAAGAGGTCTCAAAATTAGGTGCACAGGGTATTTAATCGGCAAAGACAGTAGAACAAGGAATGTGTAAACTAATTTTATTGTTCATTATGGGTTATTTTTCAAAAAGATAAGAGTTGGATCTACTTCATTGGTATTTTTACCAATTGGCAATACGAAAATATACTTGTGGGATTGGGGACAACGTATCAAGTTTATAGAACAAAAACAGAGGTTGTTTCCTTATCTTTGCTAATGGTTAGAGTTTAACATGATCAATATGTCAATAATAAATAATGACAGCATCAAAGACACAGATTAACGATTACAAAAACCAGATAAAACAGTCCAGCTTTGTTAAAAATTCGACAGATATGATGTTCATTATTTAGTGAAGTGCAAACCATTAAAAGAACAAAGCAAAACCAATTAATGTGACATCGAAAGATATTTGCAATAAACCATTTGAATGTGATAGACATTATCTTTTGGCAAAATCAAGTCATCTATGGCACATGGGCACATCCATTTGGAGAATGCAGTTTAAAAAGTTGGTTATTGTTTGGGGAACAGATACCAAGGTCAAGACTTTCAATTGTCGGAAGATGTTAAACATTATCAGGATGCATCAATGACAGACACATTGATGCTACTGTATTTTATAGACTGCCATAGACACAAAACTAATAAATGCTTACTTGGAATACCCTATATCAATGTTGGTTATTACAAATGAAAAAATAGGAAAATTGCAAGTACTGTGGTTACCTTGATATGACTTTTTGACAAGTCTGTAAATGACACTTCAATTAATATATTATCTCAGTCAAGAAAGAATTGTTGATGGGAGAAATATTAATGGGTCATGCCAACAACATATTTTACTCTTCCAGCACCCAAAGCAGTCATAGTGGTGGCTAAATTTGAGTTCCAGAAAAATTGCGCTAGATCTATAATTTTATGCTCGATTTTATAGTGTAGAGGTCTTTAAAAGTGCAGACGTCTACACCATAATAACTTAATTTGCTTTAAAAACTAGTAGTATACAATGAGGCTAATTTGAAGGGCATATGTGGTATGTATGCCTACCAATTTAATCATTAATGATGAGAGAGTGGGTTGGTGTAATGGTTTCCATTTGTGGTTCTCGATCTTATTCATGTTTGACTACACCAGTTTGCTCTAAAACATGTTGATATCTACCACCACCAACATCTACCGGTACATCTACCGGGTTTTTTTTATTATTGTTACTTCGCCATGCAAACTCTTAAAACAATAATACCTAATGAAATAATTTCAAGTTTCAAATGTGTAGATGGCAGAGAAGAATAGCATGACACAAGTTTTATGGTTCTAACAAGATATGTTGATCTGCTGATTAAGGAACTCTTATGTAATTTCTAGATTAATACCGGAGTGGCTGATATTATAAAAACACTTGACATGCATCTGAAAAAATGTTAGTCATTTTGAGTAAAGACAGTTGGCATCCGTTCTTCATGGGAATATCACCATTGGACTAGTTAATGTTTTTTTAATTTCGTAATAAAATCTTTTTCAATCGACATATTTACTTTTTAGGAAAATAATGCAGTTTTCATACATGCTAACATTTTGATAGTAAAAAATGGGGGAATTTGGTCATGGGGTGGGGGGAGGTGTTCCCATTACATGTGTAACCCCTCCCCTTGGAGGCTTCAGCTATTAATGTATAATAAGTGCAAATCTCATGATTCTTATGATATGTATTCCAATAATAAAAGTATGATATTGATTTTAAATTACTTGTGTGTTTAATTGAACCACATTTTGTCGTGTTTACACAAGACAAAATGTGCCTACAGGCTATGTCTATATGGATTAATTTCTTATTTTCTAGCCCCTTTTCAGTACAAATACAAAATCTGGATTGAATACTTGTCTAAAAGTGCGTTTTCTATAATTACTGGACTGGTATTTTAGCAACTGCAACTTCATGTCCAATTATTCAACATAAGGGCTGGTCCGTTTTCCGTAGTGTGTTATTACAAAGAGACTACAATTAACGTATAATGCAATTTTTTGTACACTGGAAGAGCGCGAAAAAACGTGAGAAAAATTGACCTGTGTTCAGAATACCGAAACAGGAGTCTCCCTGCCAAAGAGGGATTGCTGGCATGTATAAGTTTTTGCTTGAAATTTGTCGGCCATCGTTATTTCAAGGTGACCACCATTACAGTAAGAATATCATTTGAACAGGTTGACATTGAAAACATAAGTTTTGCTATAAAAATCATGTCGATACCTGCTTTAATAGCACAATTATGGTTATTATTACTTTGAAAATTCGTAAGAATCTCACCATTGGACAGGTTGACATTGAAAAGATAGGGTTTGCTGCCAAAATCAGTTGATACCTGCTCTAATAGCACAACTATTGTTATTTTTACTGTAAAAACGGCAGCCATTTTGAAATTCAAGATGGCCGCCATTTATGATCGGTGAGAATATCACCATTGGAGAGGTTGACATTGAAAATATGTGGTTTGCTGCCAAAATGATGTTGATATTTGCTCTAATGGCACAGTTATTGTTATTTTTTATGTGAAAATGACGGCCATTTTAAAATTCCAAAATGGCCTCTAAGTCAATCTAAAAAAAATGGACCCTTTCATTTTTGGATTCAGCATACACAAAATATCCAGAAAATGCAATAAAATCGCTTTGGGCAAGCCTATCTCGTGAAATGACACTAGGGTCCACACAACACCTAAAAGTCCCCAATTCTTAAAATGTTCTCACTTCAGCCTCATTCCTGAACATGGGGCTCAAATTGATATAGTAAAAATACAGATCAGATGAACTAAAAACTTTTATCTTAGAATTTATCTCGACGTATATCTTACAGTTTTTAGTTCAACTGATCTGTATTTTTTCAGTCATACGTATAACGCTGAGGAAGGACACAGGCGTGTCCGAAATATTCGTCTTGAATAAATTTTAAAATTTTATGTCTCTATTATGTCAACGTATGCAATCGTTTCTTTTTCGTATTTGCTTTATATA